CCTCTGGTGGGTCGCTTGGAGGCACCAGCTCCTCCAGGAGGGTCTTCTCCTTGGCCTCACCCCCTCAGCATGGCCTGAAGGGGCTTTCTCCCTCCACTGACTTACTTGAACCATTTCAATGAATAGCTTAGCTGAGATGGCTAATTTTTAGGTGACTCAATGTAAATGAGGTGAATCTTCCTTGAACTGCAAAGGGAACCCAGCCCAAAGCTTAGGCTGAACACCGGTCTTTCAGGTGACTCTGGCAGGGGGAGAGCAACTCTCAATGGGGGCTGTTGGCACCTCATCCCCAGCTGTGAGCCACTAGGCATGGTCCTTCCCTCACCCCCAGCACCAGAAAAAACAGATCTCAGGACCCCTACTGAGACGCTGTCGTCCAGATTTGGTCTCAGGCTCCCCCAAAGTCTGTTGCGTGCCAGCATCACGGGGGATAAAATGAGACGGAAGCACCGTCCATCCCCAAGCCCTCTTCTCCGTCGTGGCTGCCCATGCACCCGTTCCTGGGGCTGCTGAGCCGAGGCAGCGGGGCAAGTTTACCTGCTTGTGGATCTCTGTCTTGGGCACCTGGTGGAGGTTCTCCAGGTGTGAATGGAAGAGGTTGCTCCTGATAAGCTTCACCCCAAGCACGGACTCGATGATGTAGCCGATAGTGCAGTCGTCTGGCAGGCGGATCTTCTCCGCAGTGCTCATGAAGTGACCACCACTGCGGGAGACAAGGAGGAGCTGCAGAACGGCATGCCGGAGCCCGGAAGGGATGTGGCACCTCGTGGGGTCTGGGCCAGGACCGGGACACCAGTCCCAAAGAATCACAGAATGGTTGAGGTTGGAAGGGACCTCTGGAGATCATCTAGTGCAACCCCCCTGCCCAAGCACGGTCACCTAAAGCATTGCCCAGGACCCTCTCCAGATGACTTTTGAATATCTCCAAGGATGGAGACTCCACAACCTCTCTGGGCAACCTGCTCCAGTGCTCAGTTGCCCTCACAGACCAGCCCGACTCTCGTTAAGAGGCAATTAGGGCGAGAGGAACCCGGATCCCTTCCCAGCTTGTTTCCAAATCTCTGCAGAAACCCCAGGCTGTCACCAAGATAAGAGCAAGGCAGCAGGGCACATTTCAATGTCTAGCCTCAAAGACGTGGCTCCTCTGTGCCCCGCTGGCACCTTCAAGAGTCCCTACGTGACCGCAAAGCCAATGCTCTTACCTGGCCCACGGGCTCATCTTCAGCGCCAGCCCCCGGCTGATACAAAACCCTGCTCCTCCCGTGGCAAACCAGAAATGCACCGGATGCTGGGAGGGAGAGAAAGCAAAGGCGATGAGTGCAGCCG